TGGACTCCTTTTAGTGTTAGAATGTATGAGAAGAATTGGTTCAGATGCTAACACATTAGCCTTCACTCAACTGCGAAGCTATGACAGTGGCTATATGGTTTGCTAGCTAGGTAATGTAGCTAACAAGAATTAATGGGAAGAGATGTTTTGATGCTAAACCTTTGATGTTCTGCTCTTTACTGATAAACTATAGCCGGCTAGCTACCTTGTTAACACAGCAAACAAATGTAATTTAAGCATAAGTAACATGACAGTTATCAGGGTTACGTTAGCGTTGATGAATCTATTTCACAAACTAGTTAGCACTTGACGCCACTTGTCTGACTACTCTGTTTGCTGCATGTGTGGCTGAGAGTACTACAAACTATGTAAAAACACAATGTTTTAGCTTACCCCAAGCCTCTTTTATTTATTATGTGTATGTATTTATTGACTTCTTTGCTGTAAGGTTTATCAGGACATACCCCAGTGATGCTGAATGTACTGTTTTACTAGAAACATAGATGTACTCTGAGTGTATGTATTTACTTGAAGTGAAATTATATATAAAAATAACCTATTGCCAAAAATAAGACTAGAATAACAAATCCTGCTGTAAAAAGCAATAATAAAAGCAAAAAGCAAATTTTTTTATCATCTTACTTACATTGTTTTGAAGAGGATCCTAGTAGTTATACAATGTGAACGCAGTGAATCGCAAAACTAAACTTAAATTAGTCGTTTGGTTTTCAAGATTGTCATTAGTACACTTCAGCTACAAGGCAGAAATGCCCAGCCATGGCATTAATTGCTTGTTTTCTTTATTTTGCATCTGCTAGCATATAAAAAACACATTAATGAGGTTAAAAACTAGATTTTCAATGGACAGGGTGAACTAGTTCTAAGAGACCATAACCCAGCACTCACCATGCGCCCATTTTGCTGAGGTCTCTCTTGGACTGGAACGTGTAGGCCGTCAGTCCAGTAAACACAGCACAGGTCAGGAACAAAGCTTGCAGGATTGTAGAGTATTCATAGAAGGTCACTGTGGAGAAAAGACATGTCTGGAAAGTCTGCCAAAAGGCTCAAAGCATGGAAACTGATAGACTTCTTCAAATAGTACTCACAAGCTGTGGCCACAGAAACTGCCTCCAGTAACGTCTGCAAGCAAAACACAGCAATGAGCACGTACACACTAAACATCTAACAAACAGTAGTAAAGGTTCTGAAGGTTGTAGTCATCGAGCAGCTAATCCAATATCACAAAAGGGAAGGGATCAATTTAAACTGTACACAATTGTTGGACAGTGTTTACTGTACGACAACTACAGCCTAATGGATGTTACATTCAGCAGCCAGCTAATCTAAATGTTATGTTCCCTAGCTGTTAGCTGAAAACCAAAAAAACAAAGCTTACAAAAACGAGCAACAGGTAGAGGTTGACGGGATGTTGGTGCCTGTAAACGGCCAGGGCCAGCAGAAGAACCAGGGAGAGCAGAGCAGAAACCAGAACCACAGCAGGACTGAGGGAAAAAAAACCAAACCGCAGTCACATCATGTGGCTATGGCAGCTTTATGGATATTATGCATAAAAGATGTGCACGAATGTGAATGATGTGGTGAGATCAGAAAGTGGCCGATGGCATTGTTCAGTGGCATGGGCCAGTACCACAATGGTGCGCCAGTGCGCTCACATAGTATGTCACTGACATTGCATAAACATAAATCACTTTATATCTACTGGTACGGGTTGATATTGGCAGGTCTTGACATGCGATGTGACTGTCATCAGTATGCACATCCAACGCTAATAAAGTCAAGAATCGGCATATTCTACTGTCCCAAAACCGCTATACTATCAGCCACATTTAAATCTCTATTCTGTTGCAACCAGTCCCACTCGGATGTTCTTGTATAACAGTGTTCTCCTCCATACCTTCTGAAGACTACCCTTTTAGAACAGGGATCTCCAGCTCCGGTCCTCGTGAGCTACTGTCCTACGGGTTTTAGACGTTTCCGTACTGCAACCCACCTGACCCAAATGAATGGATCATTGACAGACTAGTGTAGAACTTGACAACAAGCTGTAGGAGATCCATTAATGTGAGTCAGGTGTGTTGCAGTACGGAAACGTCTAAATCCTGCAGGACAGTAGCTGATGAGGACCAGAGTTGGAGACCCCTGGGTTAGAAGCTTATGTGGATACAGAAGAAAAAAAGTCCCTAAGATAATTAGCCCATCCTTACCTGCCATGGACAAAATCTTTGATGCTTTGAGAAAACATAAAGAGAGCAGAGGTGGCTGTGGTCAAGATGATCTGCAGGCTCAGGAGGGTGTAGACCTTCCTCAGGAAGTCTGAACAACAAACACAGCATCAAAACAGTGGAACCCCAGTGTTGGTGTAAACACTCATTGTCAAGTAGCGACAGAGATGATGAATGTACATTTGCAAAAAAAAATATTATCAGCTGATTCTATTAACTAAACAGCCAGTGTGTGTTCGTGCCACAGACAACAGTTACTTGTGAACCAGTATTATCGGTGCTGATTCTGGATCAGCCTACGCAGCTCATTTCACAGGTGACGTGTTAGTTATGCTGTAACACATTAATAACATTAACACAAATGTTTTAACTGGACAAGGACGACAGCTAACACTGTGCTGGCTTATTGGGAAGCCGAGATCAGAAACATCGTTGACAATGGCTATAATGGTGATGGTACGGTGGTAGGAGTATCTATAGCTACAGCAAGACGTTAGCTAGCGTTAGCATACGTAGCTAGCTGCTGTCTACACTGCGCCACGGCGGTACTTACCCATACGGATCTGGATACTGGCTGTAGCGACATTGGTCCCGTAATTAAAGTCGTCTTCAATAGAAGACTTCGGGTATTTTTCAGTGCTCATCGTGTCGCTATAGCGTTTTCTCAGCTCGGTCGCGAAAGGTAGTATGTTACTGTGGATGTATTAGAATACGGAAGAACGCGGAAGAAGAAGTGCGACCCCCCTCCTCCCCCCAAAGACAAGATAAAAACAGGAACACACATTTTGCCAGGGTTTAGCAGTGAGGGTGTACACATTAATTAACTGGGATGAATATTAATATTAAAGCTTCACGGTTTGTTCTTATGGCTTTCTTATTTTTACAGTCTTTAATTGCTGATGCGCACTTGTCCGTACTTCTGGCGGACTCGTGAAACGTCATCAGTTGGCGACGAGTACTGCTCCAATTCAAAGTGCGCATTTGATGACACTGACCATTTATTTTTCCAATGTATGTGTTCTGAAGCGTTTTGGCTGGACGTTCATGATTTGCTCTTTCCAAAGATTCCTCGTCTTAATAATTTCCTCTCATCATTTTTGGACTAATAATGGACTGTAACAATAATGACTTCCTGGTTAATTATGTCCTAATCCTTGGTACATTTTCAGAATCAACATTCCTGAAGGTAAAACCTAGGTCTAATGTGTTTTATAACTAATTTATTTTACATATCAAAACCCTCAAGGTTATGAAAAATAAAATAATTCAGAGTTAGTAAGCAATATTGAAGACTATGATTTAGAAAATAAGCCCTAGTTCTTTTCTTCTTTTTTTGTGTTTGTATATGTGTAATTCATCTTGCTTTTTCCATTTCTTATGCAGTGTTTTTTAAAAAGATACACCTTTGTCATTGTTGTTTGATCCTCTGCCATGCTGTTTGTAATTGTGCATTTATAAAAAAATAAAAATAAAAAAGTACGCATGTGATCTGGCCAAGTGCGAATGAAATGAGATTCAGTGTTCCAGTTCAACTGGTGATCCAGGTTAACTGGTTTGTTGTGTTTACACTCCAGATGTTCCGTTCACAGATTCGTCACGACCAGACCTGTCTGTGTGTGAAGATAAAGATGCTACATGAAGGGGAATTCACCAGAAAACATGCACATCACTAATTAATTAAGTCTATATCCAGGGCCGCTGCCATAGCTCA